TAGGGTCAACATTGTCATTTTCCACTATCATCTAATGGAAGATTGATTAAATCCATTCTAAATTATAAGTGATGTTTTAGTAAAATGCTAACTATAGGGTAGATTTTAGTAAATCCATAAAACTATAAGGGGTATTTTAGTGTATGACCCTTTTTATTATTTAGCTTTCTCTTAATAAATCTCGTGCATCGCACGGGTCCCCGCTAGTGTTTTGTTACAAGGAGTCTTGCTTCTCACTTCTCATGCGTGTGGATGTTTTTAGTTAAAAGGCAACAATGTCCCTGGATCATTGATATATACACTTCTCACTTTGATAAAATTATACTATTTTTTTTATTATCAAAATTACAATACTATCCTCAACATAGAATAGACCTAAATAACTAAAAGGGATATTTTGGACTTTTTTCTAACATTAGTGTCTAAAATAGGTTTCTGCTTTACTAAAACACCCCTATAGTTTCATGGATTTACTAAAACCTATATTGAAGTTTGTTGTTTAGGATGTGTTTGGTTGCAGTACAATTTTATTTAAACTAGTCCAAATGCATGGGAGTCCAAATGAAAAGAATGCAAATTCTGGTTTGATTTTGTTTAGGGTTTTACTTTATTCTTCTTTAGGTCCAATTTTACTTCACTTATTCTGAAATCAAACAAAATAAGGTAAATTTTGAAATAAAAGTAAATCATAATTTGCACCAAAATCATTTGCACTATCATGATTTTGCATCAATGTAAATAAATTCGCATTGCAACCAAACACTCCTTATAGTTTGCAGTTGATTTACTCAATCGACCTTTCATTAGATGATAATAGAAAATAACAATTTGGACCCTAACATCTATTTGAATAAATTTAATCAAATGAAAATGAAAGTACCATATTTGCCCTTAATAAGACATGAGCATCCACTTTATTTGGTCAATTTTGTTTTCTATATGAAGTGTTAGGGATACTTTTGGAATAAACAATCATGGGCCCATGCCCATGAATATTTTCCACTTAGTCTAGTTGATCATATAACTATTTTCATATGGCAAAACAAACACTTCTTAGTGAAAGACCATTAAGTAAATAGGCTTTAAACTGTAGGGAGTGTTTTAGTAAAATGAAAACTATAGAGTAGGTTTAAGTAAATCCATGAAACTATAGAGGGTGTTCTAGTAAATGGCCTTTAAAGTAATCGTCATTACAACCTATTGGAGGTCAGAATAGGCTAAGGGCAACACTATAATTTCGCTTTGGAGCCGAGGGTGGGCTGAGGAGTCTGAGATCTGCTATGGCTGAGGACTAGTAGGTCAGACCTACGGAGAGAGAGAGAATGTCAGAGGCCTCGGGTGCTAACCCGAGGCGGGGACTTCGACGATCAAGTTAGTACGGGTGCAACACCAGGTGGGCGAGGCCTGAAGCGAGAGCACTCAGACGAGGCCACAAAGGAAATTGGAGAATTCTTAACAGTCTTGGATCTAGATTCTATATCCTTACCTTGAGAGGGTTGCCCCTATATATACTTGAAGCCACCTGGAGGTAGGTGGGCTCGAACAGGTAGGATGTGGTCCGGCCCTAAGGAGCACGGTCATCCGAGGTTGCTACATGTGGCCACACCATTGGCCCTGCATCATGTGCCGACGCTCTACGCGTGCCTCCATTGGGTCCACGCTGAACGCTGCCACCTGCCGCATGTGCACATGCTATTGGTTCGGGCCGTGTGCGCCTAGATCACAACCCACCTACTTCCATATATTGTTACCAAAATAACACCACCTCCTCTTTCCTTCCGTTACACTTACACCCTCAAAAATCCCAATCCACTTCCTATATAGTTACCACATTTGTTACATCCTGTTTATAGGAATTAATTATATATATCAACCTCGACCGCCAATAGACTCTCTCTTTCAATCAGGTAACTTAATAGGTCAGAACTTTTTCCCTTCTTTCCTCTCTCTTTTTCTAACTAGCCAATTTCTAACTTTGGGCCCGTTTGGTGTGTCTTTTCTGGGAAGATCTTTTGTTAACTCTAATAGTTAAAAGACACATTAAGCTTTTGCATGAAAATCTGAGCAGTCCAAAATTAGTTTGGTAGTATCACGTATTTTCATGCATTTTTTCATGTCTTTCCGCACGAGAATAAAACGTGAAAGATGCAAAAAGTTTCATTTAGAGTTTCCTGAAATCAGCCCAAAATGGGCTTCGGAAAGATCTTCTGTTAACTCTAACAGTTAAAAGACACATTAAGCTTTTGCATGAAAATCTGAGCAGTCCAAAGTTAGTTTGGTAGTATCACGTATTTCCATGCATCTTTTCATGTCTTTCCGTGCAAGAATAAAATGTGAAAGATGCAAAAAGCTTCATTTAGAGTTTCCCAAAATCAGCTTCTTGCGTTTTTTCAATGCTCTAACTTTTGGGCTTTGACGGCTAAATCTTTTGCAAACCAAATAGGAATAGATCGAAAATCAATTTACTTGGCTTGTAAACAGCCGAGAGACCACACGGAAAGACGTGCCATACAGGCCCTTTATTTTCAGCGATGTAGGTCTTTCGGGTCACACATTCCATTGGAGATAAGATCAAGCATGAGAGATTATGATGATTTTTGTTTTGCATCCATTTCCTTTTCCTTATTGAATAAGCTTTTGAGACAAAATTTCCCCATTCAAAAGTGATTGAACTTGACAGTTTCACTTTTTCAATATAGAGATGCAAGGTATGGATAAAAATCTTACTATCATTTTTTTTTTTTATCACTTCAAGAGGTTAATGAGAGGTGATGGTGGGGCGGCAAACAAGGAAAAGGAATCCATGGGTGACTGTTTTGATTTGTTCCACCAAAGAGCTAACCAATCATGCAACCCTCATGGAGAATCTGCTTCAACTAGAGGTACATACTAGGATCCCAAACCATATAGCTCTCGTAGCGGGACACATGATGAATTCATGTTGCATTGTTTCATCAACTTCCTAGCAAATACAACATGTTGGCTGGATTAACTGTTCAACTGTGTTTTGCAACCTTACCTCTTAAGTCTTGTTTGTTTTTCAGGAATCTATTTTTCCATTTTAATGCATTTATCTGAATAAGTGTTTTTTAGATACCTATGTTCCTTTTTATTTAATTTATTCGGATAAATATATCTTGTAAAGACATTTTTGACCATTTTTTTTCATTTATCGTTTACTTGGGAAATTCAACTTACCCAAGTCTTAAAAGGGTGGGAAAATCAATTTTACCATAAATCCCACATGTTTTTAAAATAAGAATATAAATAAATTGGTCAATGGAAACCACGTATAATCCCATTCCCTTCAAAATCAAAAAAACGAATGGGGCCTTAAGGGGATGAATCTATTCATGTATCACCATAGGAACATTTGGACACACAACAAACTAGTTTATACGTATTGATATGTGCGTGATGATATCTAAGATGCCCTTATTCAGCCACTAAGAGACAAGATCTGTCCTCCACTTTCCATTTGTTGGTCAATAATGTTAGCCATTTCAATTTCTGAGTCGTCGTCGTTATGTCTCCAAATTGGCTACAATTTAAGGGTGGGTGTGGGTGTATCCACGGGTCGTTGAAAACACGAGTATCCCAACCATCACCTACTAAAATTTTTATCCCTTTTGGCAAGTCAGGTAAACAATTTCAAATAATTGATTTATTTGAGTTACCCTTCGCATTCTAGAAAGAGCTTTGGGCAAGAGAACCTGGGACATTTTTCTCTCTTTCCTCCAAAAACCTCCGTGCCAGTTTCATCAGTAGGCACTTTTTGAACCCTAGGCCACCCATGCTCTTTGCTCTCATAAACCCACAGGTGTTTATAATTCTGTTTGCAGTCAGAATTAAAACCGGAATTGGAATTAGAATAATCCATTCTCATAGTATGTTTAGTTGAGATAAAATGATAATGGGAATTAAAATCAGCAGAATAGGTTTTCATTCCCAAGGAAAGGGCAGGGAATGGCTATTCCTTCAAATGGGGGAATGTCATTCCAACGGGAATGAAAATGAAACACCAATTCTATCCAATCAAACAGTTAGAATTGGAATAGCCCATTCAAATTCCGATTCCAAACCCCTATTCCTATTCCGCGCAAACCAAACGGGCCTGAATATACCCCACCAAAGTCCCATGTAATGCTTGCGATTTTATCCATTATATAGATTGCAAATTTTGATGGTCTACATGGGATAGGCATTGTAGTTTCCAACCCTTTAATTTGTTTGTGACTTTTTTTTTTCTACCAGAAATCACCAATCCTCTACTTTCTTGTACTGCATCAAAAGTGCTTTCAAGATACTTCTCATTCCATCTGTCTACGATGGAGGTTTTGACTAAAGTGTGTATGGACGATTTCTCAAAGATGACCTCTTCAATAGATCTCAATTGTCTTTTTTACTTTGTGTTGCGCCCAAATTAAGATAAGTGTAGATCATCCACGAACATGAGTGGCTTAATTTGAGGTTGTTGGGCTCTCCATCCTGAAGTTGTATATCCAACGTCCTAGATAAAACACTACATAAGATAAAGAGGTACAGGGAAAGGAGCAACCTTGACCAAGTCCCCTCTCCGCCTCCGGTGTGAATCTTGAAGCATAATCAGATTACAGAAATGGGAAGAATAACATCTTTGTTGTAGAGACCAAGTCAAGAAACTCTGTTATATCTTGTCATATGCCTTGGCAAGACCGGGGTTAAGAATGGAACCTCCCTGTTTTCCTTTCATGTGGTAAAGTGCATTCATAACTTCTGAAGCAATGATCACTCTATTGTCAAGAATTTGTTTACTTGGTGTGAATGCACTTTGATACATAGTGATTAATTTATCCATTAGAGGTTTAAGATCATGTTTAAGAGTGTTTATTCAAGTGCTTTTGTTCAAATAAGTATTTATTTGCACTTGATACCCATCTTTTTCAAGTATTTACTTTAAAGAATAAGCAATTATTTCATATTGAGCGTTTGGTGATCTTTTTCTTCAATAAACCTTTGTAATTCTCTGTGTGTGCCCTTTTATCACATGAAGCAGACACAGAAGAGTCATAATCAGAGGTTTCATTGCTTTCACAGGTAATTTGGGGATCAAAGAGGAAGTAATCGTATTTTCAGTGGCATTTTGAATCCTACGATAAAACAGGGCTAATAGCAATTAATAAACACTTTTTTATATTTGACAATCGTCTTTTTTAAGTGCTTATTTCATATGCAGCAAACAACGAAGAGTCGTAATTATAGGTTTTTCGTTGCTTTCTCGGGTAATTTGGGGATCCAAGAGGAAGTAATCGTATTTTGTAGTGGCATTTTCATCCAACTTTCCGTCTGAAGCTTCTACGATAAAATGTGACGATGGCGCCACCCAAGAAAGTTTCCTCCACCCCCGGCCCCGCACCTCCTCTCACTTCTTCCGCCGGGAAGTAATAATGCGTCAGGAACCCATCAAATGACGAATCATCATAAACGTGTTTGTTTTCCGACAAGAGCGTCAACGGTTCTATCCTCTCGCATCTCCCTTCCCCACCCGCCATCGACATTGAACCCACCATCGTAGTCTTCGTGGCTACCATCATCCTCCCGGGCCGTACCTCCTCCGGTGCTATTAGAACCTAGTGGACATACCTAGCTACCGTAGCCTGAATCTGTGATGGGGTGAGGTCTCTGACCGAGGAAATATCCAGAGGTGTAGTTTTACAACGAGTATTTCAGTGGCATTTTCAACGGGCTATAGCTTCTTGAAATTTTCCTTCCTCAAACCACAACGTAAGATTTACGCAACAGAAATGTATAAGAAGGTAAGGAAATTTTGGTTTATCTTTCAATAAGAGCCTCACCTCTTGAACTTGGAATATCCAATTTCAGGTTTATTTTGCGGGAGGTGGTTGGAACTAAGTTTGACCATAAGTAGCTGGGTCCATCTGTCTTGAGTAAACAGTGTTTTAGTAAATTTGATGATCTTGGTCGTTGTTTACAGTGCAACTTGTCAATGGGATCTCTTGAAGCTATTAGCTTATGTTATTCAATTACTCGGAGGCTGAGGCTGTATACCAGTAAAGAAAAAAAAAATACTCGGATTTGATCTGGGTTGGTTTTGTTTTTCGGTTTCTCCCTACAAGATGGAGAATGTTTTGATTTTCTCTCTGTCCGTGGGTTGTTATTTGTTATTTCTTTCATTTGTCTTGTTGATGTTGAGTATAATTGAACCTGCTTTAGAAGCATTGAAAATGGGATTAAAATGCTTAGAGTTTTCATCCCCCCCCTCCCTGTTTATTTGTTTTTCCAATGATTTCTCTTGTTCATCATTGGTGTTATTCATTCTCACAAACTGAGGTGTTTCATACTCCAGTTACCATGACATTTACATGAATGTAATTCCCATTGGCTCTATACTTGAAATCTAGGTATTTCTTCCTCCCCTACGTTTCGTATGTTTGAACTGATAATAAATGAATACTGTGGTTTAGTTCTTTTGCCAAAACTTTGGACACAAATTTGCTTTGTGAAGCATGTGATATAACATACTGCGAGATGCATAGAAACTGAGGGGAGATGCTCCAAATAGATATGGTTCAAGAGGCAGCTTACACTAAGAAGTAAGAATATGTCGTGTTGCTTTGTAATGCAAAACTCAGGTTCTGCAGCCTTTCCTTCTTCTTTCTGTCATTTCACCCCCTCCATATGCTCCCTCGAATTTTAAGAAAAGACTCAAGCACCTTATTTCTCTCTCCAACTCATAAGAATATGTCGTGTTGCTTTGTAATGCAAAACTCAGGTTCTGCAGCCTTTCCTTCTTCTTTCTGTCATTTCCCCCCCTCCATATGCTCCCTCGAATTTTAAGAAAAGACTCAAGCACCTTATTTCTCTCTCCAACTCATAAGAGTTCTGTAGTTTAGTGTAATCCTCCAAGTTTCAAGCCAGTTTCAACTTGATAACCTCCATAAGAGAACTGCAATTTGCAAACCAACTGTAATTGAATTTCTAGATTGATTGTACATGGATATATCATATAAAATTTTTATACGATGATGATTCACAAAATAAGTATTAAAAATTTTCTTAAGAGTTTAGAATTGTTTTATGGATACTCCAATCTACTGCTTTAAAATTGGCTATTTGATCTGGAGCTCATCCTTATCAGCTCTTCTCTCAGGGTGTTTTTCTTGTACTCAAAATCTCCATGTGTGCAAATGCAATGCTAAATTGCTAATTACATCCAATTCCTCTGTGAGTGTGGTGATCCCCTGCCAAATCAATAATGAATACTGGTACTTGGGAGAAGCTCCAATTGCCTCCAGTTTTTGTTGGAACATGTAGCTGTACCTTTGGGCCTTAGACTGTATTTTCCATGCTGCTCTACCTAACTTTTCTATTGCAGCTTCTTTCTCCTACTCTATGCAAACTTAGAGCTGGTCTAAGTTGGATTAGAACAGAACTGAAACTCACAAATATTGGAGTACTCTTTATTGCTTGTCACCTAACTGTATTTTCCATGCTGCTCTACCTAACTTTTCTATTGAAGCACTCTTTAAACAGATGGAAGAAAATCTAAAAGATGATGATCTATGTGTGGATGACAATTATGAAGAGATAAGTGAGGAAGACCTTGCAAGACTCGAACTTGAGTTGTAAGAGGCACTTGGGGATGATGATGAGTTTTCAGGAATTCTTAACTCAATTGAAGATAGTACAGAAAATGATGTTGAGGGGGAAGAAGGAGAAGAAGAGGAATCATTAAAGCGTAAAAATTGCCACTTAGACGGTTGGCTTATGCTTTAAAGGCTGGTTACTTGGGTAAGTTTGCTTTTATATTGATCTATGTACTAGTCAAGAATAATGTGTTTTGGTGTTCAGCGTTCAAAATTATACACATTGGTGCCAACTGTAGCTGTGTCAGAGAACTGATGACCTGGGACCTCCATACAGTTGCATGAAAAACACAAAGACTCTGTCAACCAGATAGGTGTTCTCCTTTCGACATGGCTGCATAGTGTATCTTTGAAAGTTAATACAATTACACTGACCCCATATAGTTGGGACAAAGTGTAGATGAATTGAGTTGGCTACCCACACCTCTAAGATATCTGAAGCCAATGGTTAAAGAAATCAGATGATATGGACCATTCAATCTATAAGACAGAATCACACGGACACACATTCACACATGCTTTTCTGCATGTATTTCTGTAACACAAATACACTGATATATAAGAAAAAAGGGTTTCCTAATTGAGTCAAGTAGGGAGCTTCCCTACATTTCCATAAACACAAACGCATAGGAAAAAAAGGTTTTTTAATTGGGTTGAGTAGGGAGGAGCTTGCCTATACTTCCTACTCCTTTTTAGTCATGTGGAAAAATCCTATGGCCAATCCATACTGTTCATCAAATAGGGGTCTCTCTAGATTGGCAATGTGTTGAATCCTAGAGTCTACTCTATCCCTATTCCAACCTTGAATTGGAGTTTTGTTTGATAAATAATGGACTTTTAATTTTTTCAATTATTTTTATTTAAAAGTTTCCTACAAAAGAGTCCTTATCTAGAACAATGTTTTAAAAGCTGTGGGATGCATACGCCTAGAGGCGCACCTCCAGGCGAGGCCCCCAAAATGCCCTAAGGTGCAGGCCTGAGGCGCTGACACTTCTGAGGTGTACGCCTCATATGCTCTTTTCATGAGGCGTGCTAGAGGCATATGCCTCATGCACTCATAAAAAAAGACAAAAGAAAGAAAAAAGAAAAAAAGGGAAAGGGAAAGGGAAAGGGAAGGGAAAGAAAAAGAAAGAAAAGGGAAGAAAAAAAAAAGAAAAGGGAAGGGAAGAATAGGTAAGTGGAAATTTCAACCAGTGATATTCATCTTCATTCTTTTTAGTATAAAAGATTTTTATTAAAAATAAAGAAAAATGAGATCCCCCTTCCTCTTCTTCTTCCTCCTCCTCCTCCCCCTCATAAGGAGGCTTACGCCTCTTATGTTCTAAACTATACGCCTCACGCCTCTAGGTAGTGGAACGCCTCGCATCACGCCTCCGCATTCTAAAACATTGATCTAGAACACATGATGCTGTTTTTTGCATTGAAATATTTTGCATGAATTAAGGTTCAAAATATCGATACGCCCGATACGCCGGTATGGGCGTATCAGGCGAATTGATACCCTTTTTTATATTTTTTTTTTTCTGCAACCGGTTCAGGGGGGCCGGTTTAGGTCTCCTCCATCCCCTGGACCAGTCAGACCCCCGATACACCCACTGTAGGGGCATATCAGAGGGGTGCCGGAACGATGTGTATCAGCCGATACGTGTCGATACTTTGAACCTTGGCATGAATTTGGGATGATGAGAGGAATTCAGGGATTCCTTTTAAGTTCTAACTAACTTCCCATATTTTAGAGTTTCTGGATAATTTAGATTCACTAAACAACCTAGAATAGCTGAACAACTTGGCTTCCAACATTTGGAGGTGGAAGGGAATTCTAAGGTAGTAATATCCTGGATGAGCAATAACAGTTAAGGTGTTTGGTCATACAGTCAAACTTTAAGGGAGATTGGCAGTGGCAGCCTAGCTAAGGAATTGGGAGCAACTTTTAGGTAGGTTAAGAGATCTGCCAATGGAATGGCTGATGCATTGGCTAAGCAGGGTGTTCAAAGGGAACAGTTGTTTTGGGCAAAATTGTAATGTAATCTGGGGGGTCTCTAATGGGTGGGGGAATGATTCCCCTATACTATAATGTATTGCTTGTAAATGTAACATAAATTGAAGTTAATAAATTTCTGTTATTGATACCCAATATATCCTCCCATAGTTGCTTTAGCCATTGCTCAGCTTTCAAGACAATAGCCATCTTATATTATATATGACAAATGGATAAGTTTTTCTTGCCTTTGTTATTTATAGGAAATTCAAGGAAATTAAGGGCTGCTATTTAGGGGGGGGGAGTGCAATAAATGGTGGGATGTGAAGCTGAGGTCAACAAGGATAATATAGACAAAGCTAATCAGTAAAAAATACAATATGGAAAGAGCTATTCTAGAAGTTAACCAAATGGATAACTATGTTATCCAGACAAGTCATGGATATGCAACTTACACTGAAAATTGAAATATCCTACAACAGATACACAAGCTGGTATTCCGGTTTGAGGTGTCTGAATAGCACCACTATAGGTTAATCTTCCATGCGGTGCAATATCCATGTTGCAGAAGGATTAGGAACTGTTCAATAGGATATCATGCATGACTGAAACAATCATCAGGTAGTGTTTTACTGACTTCATGCATCTTACATGTTGAAGAAGCTAGCAAGTGTACAGCAGGCTTGTTACATCTTGGGCTAGGGGCAACTTGCATTTCTTTTTGTAGTTATCTGATAATTTGGGGAAATATGTTTCTGAAGCTTTGATTTATAAGGATTAGGGTAGAAGATTAATAGTTCACAATTTACTGCCTTTAGTCAAAAACAAGAAAAATTTTCTCCCACCCTAGTCTCAATGCTGTTGACACTTCTCGTGGCTTGTGTGGACAGCAGCCTGAAACTACTGACCATCTGTGTTTATATTGTCCAGTTTCTGCTGAGGTGTGGTCTCGCTTTTTTACTGCTGTGGGTATCTCCTGGGCTATGCCGAAGTCTGTTAAAGAGCTCTTATGTTGTTGGAAGATTAGGGGTCTGAAGGAAAAAGGAAAGTTGGTGTGGAAGACGATCCCAGCAGCTGTACTCTGGTCCATTTGGACTGAAAGGAATAACAGAATATTCTGTAACAAAAAGTAAAGTCCAGATGAAATTGTGCAGTATGCAGTCAGTAAATTGGTTTCTTGGGTTGCTGTTAATCTAGTATTTAACCATGTAAATGTATTCCAGCAACTCAGGACTCAATCCTTTGGTGTCTGTAGCTCTTGTTGTTTTCTGGCCAGTCCCTTTGTGGACTGACTATGTCTGTAGCTTCTTTCAATATTCAATAAAATTACTTTACCTTTTTAAAAAAAAGGTAATAATTCATAAATCACTTGTCCTTTGTTATGTGGACAAACTCGTAGTTTTGTCATCCAGTTTTCCTCGCTATGATTTTCTAGTTTCTAAAAGTCCATTCTTCTTTTTTATTGCAGATAAAAAATCTTGCAGCCGAGATTTGTCTTGATAGGGTTGTGGTCCTTGAATTGTTTCATTATCCCCCTCCAAATTTTCTATTGATGTCTTCTGCTTTGTCAGATAAGGTTGTACCAGCAACTTCAGTGCCAGAAACCAATCCCATGGATCCTTCTGAAGGAACAAGAATTGATGCTGCAGAACCTGAGCCCAAGGCAAAATTGCCAGTCCCATATCATGCAAAGCAGATGGTCTATGCATATGAGGCTGAAGAAAGTGCAAACTGAAACTCATGAAAGAGTTTATAGTGGGACAAAGCGTTTCACAGTAATTTTTTTTTTCAGTTTCATATGCAATGTGCATTAGACAAATTCTGTTCAGTACAGGAGTATGCAACCAGAATGGTATTATTCTTATGAGATAATTACTTATTTAGATGAATCTTTAGCTTTTCCAAGCTATTTGCTTACAAACCATTAAAACTCAGTACTTATTTGGGAACAGATATCATTTTTTTTTTTCAAATGTGATTATACCATTCCAATTGAGGGGGGTGTTTTCAAATTAGACTCTGAGATTGCATACTTTTCTTTCCCTTATTACTAAGTAATTTTTTCCCAAGAGGCCATTAGATGGGGGAAAGTTATGAGAGAAGATTATGGCTGTTCTCAGATAAGCTAAACAAGAATTTCTTCTGGGCTCCTGCACATCAAATCCAAGATGGATGCTAGGGACTTAAATACCATTGCAGATGGATTAGTGAGATTGAGGGTCAATAGGGGGAGACCTCATGCATAGTGTTCTTTTTGTAAGTTTTGATGGTTTTTTTTATTTGCTTTTTTCTAATCATGTATATCCTCCTTTTCTTTTGTTTATATTTAATGAATATTTTCAATTGTCACTGACTCACTGTTAAAGAAGTATTTTTTTAATAGATATTATGGAACAAATGCACACTTTCTTACCCATCTATCTGTACACATGCACATATATACTGTGTTTTGATTGGTCATGGATATGATTGCTTCTACTCTTCTAACAGTTGCTGTTAGACTAAGTTTTATACTGAATTCTTAGTTGAATATTTAATAAGGTAAATTACAAAGACCCCCCTGTACTTTAATTTTCAACAAAGCCCCCCCTGAACTTTTATGTTGCAACAAATACCCCGTCAGCCATTAAGTCAGATGATGGAAAGCATTAAATTACCAAAATACCCCACTAAACTTTCTCTATTTTCTTTTTCTTGCCCATTTTCTCTTAAAACCTAACTGACCCAAAAATACCTTCATTGCTTCTCACAGGGAAATGCTTCTGTCATCTCACCAGTGACCGTCGCCGGAATGGAACTCCATTGCATTCTAAGTTCTTGAATTCTATGATGGGTGTTCCATCTACAGAAAAGATGATGTGTTGGGGGTTCCAAAAGATGGAATCAAGTGTGGAAGTCTGCTGTAGGATCGAACAAGAGATAGAATTGTTGTTCCCTGTTTCTCTTTAATTTAATGAATAAATTTTTGTGTTGATGATCAAAAAATTATATGGGTCACCGCTCAGGTTGCCAAGGAATTTGGAGTCAATCTCGTCATGGGTTTGCTCTTGAGATGATAAGTAGTAAACTGTGACTGTTCTGGCTAAGTTTCAAGGGGCGTGCTTGAGCTGCATGTCTATCTTACCAAAGAGGTACTCGTTCTTGGATTGGAAGCCAGAGCCAGAGGCCTTGTCAAGGGACAGAGTCAGAAGCTCCCCATTGTTGAGTATCTTTGTTCAACAACCGCCCCATGTGATGTTGAAATCTTGGTCAAAATTACTAGCAGGAGAGCAATAGCCAAAGAGCTCAAAACCAGAGAAGACAATGCCTGCTTCTCTTCCATGGTAGAGGTTCCTGATCACATGGAGGTTGAGAATGAAAAGCCAAAGCACAGTGTGAGAAAGGCACCAAGCTCTATGCCTCCTGAGGTTTCAGATCAATGCATGAGTAAATCTTCTGAGAAAACAAAGAAAGATACAATGGTTCCAGAGTCCAAAAAGCTGGATGTAGAAACAAGCCCGAAACCATTGACACCAGATGCACCAACATCTGTACTAAACAATGATCATCCTGTGGTTGAGTTAGAACTTTTACAGAGCAACAGGAAAGATGAGAATGTTCATCTGACAAATGAGCACTTAATCTCTAAAGAGGAACCAGCTAGCAATAAGAACCGGGAAACTAGCAGGAGAGCCTCTTTCCTAGCAAAGCAGGATTACCCAGAGAATGGCTTAAAGAATAGCAACAACTGAATCTGCCAAGGCAAAGGTCAGGGCACAAGGTTCCCCAAGGTTTGGTCATAATGGGGCTGAGAAGAATGGGTTCACCAAGTGGCATTCTCTACCATCCTCCACTAATGGCAAACTGAGTTCAGTGTCACCTCGGACACGGGCTGGTTCAAGCAAGTGGAAAAGGGGGAGTTAGAAGTGACAGATCACTATTATCTTCTAGAGATGGTAATGGTAAGCATCGTTTAACCTAATGGAAATTGTCTTTGTCATGAACTTGGTTTCTTTCTGGATTGTGCTTCTAATCAGTGTATTAGAAAGCATTGAAGGTGAATGCCTGGAGGTGCCCAAGCGTGCACTTGGAAGATGCCCGGAGGCATACTGTGTAGAGATGCAGAAACACGAGGCATACATCTCTAGTACAAAGGTGCATGGAAAGGCGTAATCCCTCCATTACGTTTTATGATGATTTTATAAATTAATGAAAAGCGTAAAATAAATTAGAAAAGGGTAGTTTGGGTATTTAGAAAATTTTAAACAACCAGATAATAATCTTTTTCGTAGTTAACTGAAGGAACGTTAACGGAGGGGAGTGTTTGTCTAATGGCTAAAGTTCAGGGGGGCTTTTGTCACAAATTCAAGTACTGGGGATCTTTGTCACTGACCCCATAGTACAGGGGGAGCCTTTGTAATTTACCCTATTTAATATTGTGCTCTTTGCATGGATGATATTCTAAATCCTTCAAGTTTTTTGTCCAAACATTTCTAATATTTTGTTCAATTGTTAGTTTTAATGTTAAAATAATCACTCTACTATTAGGGATGACAATTTTTCCCATAAAACCAGGGCCCCACCCTGCCCCTAACCTTAAATGGGGACAAGATGGGGATGGGGAAAATATTTTTGCCCCAAACCAGGGACAAAGTAGGGACGGGTTTTATATATAATTCTCCGAACTCAATGGTAAATTAGTAAAATAGCTCTAGATTTAAGATTGATTTTTAAAATTTCTCTAAAATTTTCCTAAATTCTTAAAATCTTAGGATCCTATAATTCTATTTCTAAAGTATCCCCAAAGTGTCGTAAATCAATTCTTAAAATATTCCCAAATTCCCATAATTCTATTAGCAAAGTATCCACAAATTAGATAATTTTTAGGTAGTTGCCTCAGAGTGGGGAAAATCCAGAAATTTCTTGGAGAGTGAGTGTCTCACATTGCCACTAGGAATGGGGCAGGACGGGGAGGGGGTGCCCCGCCCGGTGGCCATTTCTAACTAGTAACTACTATGGTGGATTTTTTAGGCAGAAAAATTCTAGTAACTTAAGTATGAGCTATTATTACTTTGACCAATCTATTTGTTAAAATGGTATGTCTACTGAGAAGATCGTTATGTTTGGAAATATAAACCCAACCTTTTGGATAGAATTTTCGAGGTTTGTTCTGGGCCTTATTCACTTGTTCTGTGTGGTCAATCCCTTCCATATATTTGTACTTTCATACCAAACCGACTTATCACTAACTTACCTACCTACTGTAAAAGATACAGTTAAACATCTACTTTTAGGATGTGATATATCACATATTTGCATTCATGCATCTTCACATTCATGTATGAGCACAATTTAACATTTCTTCTGTTAAAGTAGTTATTGTTTGTAAATGTATATTTGCAGAATGCCATGATCATCAGCATGGTGCATGTCACCAACCTGCCACGCAAGAGAGTGGTGAAATGGTTTGAACTTTGAAAATAGACATGCAGAAGATGGGGTTCCTGGTCACCACCTGCCGTTCCAGCTGTTCACTCCTGAGACGGTCTTTACTAGTTAACTAAAATACTGTAAAATCTGTTCTAATGTGCTTTTTGGTACATTACTTTTGTGAGTATGGTGTACCTTTTGCTGGTGTTCCCATTGCTTGGTAAAATGGTTAAGTACTGGGATAACAAGCATGAGAACATGGAATCTGAGTCCGAGGAGGAGTCATTTCATGCAAGAAAATGCGAAGGTTAGGTTAGTATACATCAGTCAACTCCTCTCAAGACCACTAACATTTGGTAATGGCCTTTTTTTTTAAGATATTACCAAGTTGGAGCTCAAAATTCTTAGGCCATCTTGTCTAATTCCATGATAATGATTCTGATTTGGACACTTCACGTTAGATATTGGGTGCTAGGATACTGGTCTAAATAAAAGAAACTCCATTAGAAAACTTATGATCCACCCTTGCCCTCTGAATATTATAAGCAAATTGAACAAGTTAATAATCTAAATACCTAGAATATGCCAAAGAATAAGTTAAGAAACAGCAACCAATGCGATACTGAAGTCAACCAAGCTATTTGTTCAAGAAGAGGGTTTCATTTCCTTTTTTTTTTTTTCATTTTGATGACCGTCACATACTGGACCAGTGGACTTTGTTCTATTGTTCCAATAAGAGCCTTAATATCTCTTCTTATTTGGCATTGTATCTAACTAATTAATAATGAGTAGTTGTAGGAAAGACCATTCCAATTTCCAAGGGATGACAACTGTTTGTTAATGCAGGTGTTATGAAATGAAGGTATGGAAGGGAGAATGGACCCGTCCACAGATGACAGACCATAGAGTTTGGCTTCAGATAATTATCTCGTTATCTGGATCACTATTTCTTCTGTGATGACCCATACCCATTTTTCAGTTTTCTATGATGTTCTGGCATTATTTCTGTAATATCTAATAAATCTGGAAATTTAATGAAATAGCAGAAAATGAGAGAGTAGAAATGGAACTACAAATTAATAGTGGCAATGGATGATGTCTGAGACTTCAAACACTGGGCCAAAAGTGAATAAACACAATCATGTATCTTGGTACGCCGGTTTTGGAGCATTGAAAGCGTGGAGAGTTTCAAAGCTATGACTTTGATTTATTATCAAATTTTATGAATTAGATGGGCATTCCCATGCTTGGGTGGAAACCGTACAGTAGTTGCAACTTTGTATGGGAGAACCAAGAAAGGATCGTTTGAAAGTGAATTTGCTTGAAATTTTTTCTTCTGGGTTTCTCAGTTAATCAACCAAGTTTACTCAGAAATTCTAGTAAATTTCAAGCTTTTTAGTTTATCACAGCTAGCGTAACCAGTCAGGACTGAGGAGACATGGGGTAACAAACTAAACTAGTACAAGACAAGAGAGATTAGTAAAACAACAAAATATAATAATATTTGTCTCGAAATTGACTTTTGAACATGCTTCCTACCTTCCTCATATATGCTTCTCATTTTTCTTTTCTATACTTTCTTCTTTAATTATAACCATATAATGCCATGATGCCGTCTTATAATATAACCTCTCGCTTTATTCATCCTTTCTCTCTCTCTCTCTCTCTCTCCCCACCTCTATATATATTATGTACAGCCAAGTCTAAACGATAAGCATGTGGATTTAAGATTCAAATTTTCATCAGAGAAGGAGAGAGAGAGAGAGAAGAGTATGGCTGGTCTGCAGAGGTCTACAATTTCTTTCAGAAGGCAAGGTTCATCAGGCCTGGTATGGGAGGACAGGTTCTTGTCAGGGGACTTGAATCAAATGAAGCAAAAGGAAGAGGAAGCAGGCGTAGAAACAAGAGAGCTGACTAGAAGCAAGAGCGTCGGATCAACCGCGACGATGGAACGTAGCAGGTCCAACGGAGGACGGGGTTACCGGACTGGAAAGGTGTCTCCGGCCATCGACCCACCTTCCCCCAAGGTGTCTGCCTGCGGTTTCTGTTGCGCTTTCAAAAAACCAGCGAATACCCGTCGACCCAAATCGAGTAAGCGCAAGTCCTAGTGTTCCATACCTCCATCCGTGTTTTCAAGGCTCAGGCTGGATGGGCTTAACATATCTTCCCTCTTTTATCTTCTTGTCAAGCTATGCCGGATGATCCATAGATAAACTTTTAGTTTAGTTAATCCATCTCCATCAAAGGAGATGCAGGAGAGTTTATACAAATTTACATACATATATGAATTTCCTTCCAAATTCTTGCTCTCTTACAGATTGTTTGCATGCAACTCTTGTTCATATTGATGTTTTGTTATGGGTTCCTCAGAATTATTTCATGTATAAAGAAAAACCTCAATTCTGCCTCTGTTTCAGACCTCTCTCTCTCTCTCTCTCCTGTGGGTTTGACTATATTAGTGCCACCGGCGCATATTAGCTTCTGGGATATAAGAACTTTTTAGATAATGTGAATGAGAGAGTTGATATTTGATAACAAACATCATAATTTATGAATAAAGCTTATAAATTGGAAACAATAAACAAGTGGCTTGCATTTGTCACAGTGACGATTTGATGTTGTCAACCCCTTTTGTCTTCATCCAAATTCTTCCTTTTCATAATTATATTTCCTTCACATTAAGGGTCCCACAAATAGCTGCCACCCATCAAGCATCTCTTGCCGTTTATGTAGCCCACCAACTCATCAAACCCAGTTGCCCTTTTGGTTGGTTATCTAATCTAGAAGTTGGAAGAATCTTAACCATCCGATCATGGGAAAACTTTTGGATTAGTCAATATGTGGGCCATGCAGAAGATGATCACTGATCTCAATGGTTCAGGTCTGTAGTTTAGTAGGGTCTATGGTTTCATTTCTTGTTTGAACCAAATCTGTGGTCTTAAGCTCTCATGAGGTTCCGTCTAACTTTGGTTTATGCATTTGATTAGTTAATGGTCTATAATTTGATTAAGTGATTGATTTAAATATTCAGGCTGAGAAGATGGACCCTTCAAACAACCTATCATACTCATGAAAAGGCAAGATGCCAGGAGGAAGCCGACTTGTGCATCGAACTGGGGACCCTGGTTGTTGGGCCGTCCGTGGATCGGGTCAACTTGGCACCCAAATTGACTGCAATTCTGAATTCTCTCATTCTCTGTAAATTCATTTTGTTTATGTCTTGCGGGTTTGGGATCGGACCCGGGCTGACCCAGAAGAACACCTATGGTCCACTTGGGCTACTTTAGAGGGCTGCAACAGCTCATTGTGCTAAAAAAGGGGCCCATTCAAACCTAACAAGCCTACCCCATTCAACCTGACTTTACTAGTTTCACATTAAGTGTGGGTTGACCCGTTTAAATCCGAGTGTATGGTATGGAGTGTGGAAAGCTTGGTTGAGTGCCCGTTCGAGAGGGCTTTCACGCGGCGGCTTTTGGATTTTGCGATGCTGGGCCCATCCAGACAGCCTGTGGCGAAAACCTAAAGTCAAATTAGCTGTTTTTCAGCCAAAAATGGCTTTCTCTTTCTCTTGAAGGTGAATTCTTCAAAGCAACTCAACCAAAGATTCAACCTTCCCAAACGACGGGCTCTGGTTGCCCCTTGACTTGCTTCAGTCCAAGCAATAATTAGACGATAGCAAGTAGAGGTAAGTATGTGTCAATTCAGTTTGGAATCAAAATTAAGATTGGTTTTAAACTCTATCCATAGAATTTGTTCTTTCTTTACCCACCCCCCCCAAAAAAAAATCAACATGTTATTTAAAAACTTGATTATCAATAATATATTGTTCAAAACTTATTATAAATTAAAATTTGTAAATATTATCTTTTACATATTATATACATTGAAATATTAAATTAAAGAAAAATGATCAAATCAGTTAACTGATTCAATGGTTAAGTGAGACCAAGGTCTTTGTAATCATAAGTGTTTGGGTTTATATCTTTATGCCCTCAAAGTATTTTAAGATTTATTTAAAAGCAAATTTGGTCTCAATGCCGGTTTTTTGGGTCCGTTTGGTAGGGTACCCCTAGGCCCTAGAACCAGCCCAAGTGGGGGTTGGTTCCAATAATTAGACCCATACTCAACAACATTTGCTCACCCCTAATAGCAAGTTCTAAAGAAAACCATTGTGTTTGGATCATTTTGGAATTATTTATCAAATTCTCACCCTAATCCCATAGCAATATCTATTTATGGCTTGAAACTCTCTCCATCCAAACAATGGATATGGCATTAAATAGAACAGAATGGTGGAACAAGATTCATGCAGCTGACTCCACAAGGTTACGAAGTTAGATGATGATGCACTTCTGGGGAATGATATCTGAAGTCATTATCACCCCGGATTGTTGATGACCTATCAGTGGCATCCTTTGCTAGATGCCCGATAGTAGGGGTGTCAATTGGCTGGTTTTGGATCGGATCCAATCCGATCCAAATCTTATCAAATCAGATTTGGACGGTCCATATAATTATTGGATTGGGTCAATCCAAAATAAATTGTTGCATATTCTTATTGGTCTGAATTGGACCTAAACCAAATTTCCAATAATCCGATCATGAGGCCAAACCCTTGTCCAATTTGAAACCGATCAAAATTGAAGGCGGCATAAAAATCACTTTTATGAAAACACTTTTATAAAAGTAATTTTATGAAAAGTACTTTTACAAAAGTACTTTCATAAAAGTGTAAAAGCACTTTTATAGAAGCAGTTTTATAAAAGCACTTTAATAAAAGTACTTTTACAAAAGCACTTTTGTGAAATAACTTTTAGAAAATCATTTGTACAAAAGCACTTTTATGATAGTACTTTTATAAAAGCACTTTTATGGAAGTATTTTTATAAAACTACTTTTACGAAAGCACTTTTGTGAAAGAACTTTTATAAAAGCATTTTTACAAAAGCACTTTTATGACAGTACTTTTATAAAAGCACTTTTACAAAGTACTTTTATGAAAGAACTTTTACGAAAGTACTTTTATAAAAGCACTTAAACAAAAGTACTTTATAGAAGTACTTTTACGAAAGCATTTTGACAAAAGCACTTATACGGAAGTACTTTTATAAAAGTACTTCCATAAGCACTTCTATGGAAGTACTTTTATAAAGCACTTTTATAAAAGTACTTTTACAAAAGTGCTTTTTCAATGCCAAAAGGGTATATTTTTGTAATTTTCATATTTCTTTATTTTAATATATTTTTGTAATTTTTACATGTTCTGTTTTTTATATATAATTTTTGATATTTCATTCGGTTTGGATTGGATCCAATCTAATCCATTTACATTTTAATGGTTTGGATTGGATTTGGATGAATTGGGTTCAGTCCATTTGTAAGTGGACTCACATTGGACTGGATCGGGTTGGTCCAAATCCAATTCAATTGGCACCTCTACTTGATAGGAATTCACCTTCAAATGTGTAAATACAAATTCCCATAAAATATAGTATGTGGTCTGTATTTACATGCTCGAAAGTGAATTTCTATTGGGTCCCGTTACATTAGGAGAGACCATTCTACTCATTTTGGGATTTTTATTATATGTAAAGGAGCTTTTTTTTTTTGGAAAGATGCTTGCATCCCTCGTGGAAGAAACCTAATTCATTTAGTGCAAGTCCCATTCAAAAAGCCTTTATAGCCTTGCATTGGGAATATCTCCCCATGAAATAAAGCACATAAGTATGAAGATATTCTCAATGTAAGGCTGTAAATAAGGTTGTTTGAATAGTGCTAGGATGGATCTTGCACTTATTGAAGCCAATCTTGGAAAAGAGTAGAATTGAAGAGCATTGGGATCTGTAACAAAGATAGACATGTATAATAATGTAATCAATAAAAAATGAACACACTAGCATTCCATATACATAGAACCCACATGTGGTGGGGTCTATGTCAGTTCCATGTGATGGTGTGTGATTTGGTGCTCTCTACTGGTAGACAACTTAGACACCAGACTAAGTAGGTCGCTTGGTCAAGTTGCAAGAAAGTGATGATCACAATGTCCAGGTTGCTTTACCCGAGGTGGGCACTCTGATGTTTAAATCAATAAAGAGCTTTGAGAGAGCTAAAAGCAAGAGAACTAGTGAAATGTGAGAGTTAAATCGTGCGTACTTTTTCTGTGAATGGGGATGCCTTTATATAGGTTAGTTGTCACAAGGCTCACGAAGCGCGTCCGAGATCTCTGACCCATCTGGTTCGGAGGTGGTTTCACGCCCAGAGATGGACTCCACGTAAGTGGGTGGTGTCTATCTAGTCGTGTCCAAAGTGGGCAGGGTGATAACTGGCTCTTCCGATGTGGTGTCGTGATCCTGAGGAAGTCAGAGATGATAATCCACTGAACAAGGAGGTCGCCCGACACGTCAGGCAGGTCGCTATCTGAACTCGGGTCAGGTCGGTGGAAGCAGGTCACCTCTTATGCCAACGTGATGTCTTACCGAGTTGTTTGCAATTCGGTCCGTCGAGGTCATCAGGGTAGGTGTGAGGTGTCTGAGACGCACCCGAGATTTGCTTACATGGTGCTGAGATGTCATCTGACTGTTTTGAAATATCATGTGTCATCACATCACTGGAGAGCCAAATCACCCCTCATCACAATTCATCATGCATATAAAATGTAGCCCATTGTACATGATTTCAATTGAAGAAAGCATGAAAGAAAGAACATAGATAACTGCATTTAAGGGGAAAAAACTGGGTTAATGGTATTTGGGTTGGGGTATTGGGGAGCGGGCAGTAAGATGGGTGGCAATGAGATTGGAGAGTTCTGATAAAACGTGTTCTATAAACCACAAGAGAGCTTTAAGAAACTATCTGTTTATGGAATGAAGAAGAGATTACGTTGTCTAATGTTACCTCCAAAGATTTGCACAATCTTTCTTTTACAAGTTGGCCTCACGATGTTATCAAAATGACAAGATCCCTTGGGAGCTGGGAAAACTAAGATTTACTTGCAAAAATGATCGAGTCCATGTTATCTTTATTATTTACTATATAATGCTGATAATTGCCATGTCAAATCTCTTTCTCTTTCTCTCTCTCTGCTTTTAATCCATTTCAAGACAGCCATCACTCAAGTGTATTTCTATTTGCAGTTATTTTTGTAGGTAATTAGATTACACAATGGATGATATATAAGTAGAATAATAATTTTGGATTTTTCATTTAGCATTTGACAAAGTGTCACTAATAGTGGGATTTGGGTTGGGTTCGGGTTGATTTGATTTCTCTACTTCCTTTTGTCAAATGAAATTATTTCTTAGATTTTAAGGGTTCATATTAATTCAATATTAATATTATTATGTGTAAAAGAATATAATTATCATGTTTTAGAAAAAAAAAAGCTTTTAATTTAAAAATTCTTGACATATAGTATACAAGCATACATAAATACTCACAGAAAAAAATATATAAATATATGGATATATACATGCATCAATGGTGAATATGCATATATAAAAATACTTTCATGCATAAATACATATTTATATAAAATTATAAGTTGTATTTGAGTCGAGGCAGGTTGGTCAATGCCTAAATCCTAATCCATCCCAAAGTTAAGACTAACTCTAACCTGAACTTCAACCCATCCCTAGTTTTCTGGGCTGGGTTGCCCAAATTGCAGCCTAGTAGTGATACTTCTCTGTTGGAGGAAAACTAAGAAAGTATCTGCAAGAAAAAAAACTAAGAAAATGGAACAAGAGAAACCCATGTTCACGCCTCCTAGAAGCTACATTTGGATCAAGCAATTTCAGCATTATTTAATATTTTATAATTAGGAAAGAAAAGAAAAACCAACCTAAAAACAAACAGAAAAGTAGAAAAGTGTAGAGTAAACCATTAAAATAGGTTAAGGCCCGGATGCTCCATCTTCTTCTAAATTAGAAATTTAGAATGATATCTTTAGCTAATCTGCTCACCACCCCTGTTGAATCATAACTGACGAGTGACGATAATGGCTTCTCTTCGGTTTCACCTTGTCATCCTTATGCTTCTTCAAGTGATCCTCTTCCTCTATCACCCTGTCAAATCTGATGATAAGAATTGTTTCGATATCTTCCTTTTTTTTAATTTTTATATTTTTTCTTTCCACATTTCTCCTCCTCCTCCTCCTTTCATTTTTTGTCTAAAATGACAAAATTGAATTTTAAAATTTCAAATGACTTCACATATACCTTTTCATTGATGGATTGGGTTGGTCCAACCAGCCTAAATTGACGAGTTTCCAAGGCAGCTACTTCCAGAACATCCAGATTGACCGAAGGACCGGGCTGGGTTTTTCCTAATTATGGTTGGTGGACACTATGATGATGGCCATCCAACATGAGTTCACATTTCCACCCCATAAAGGGCTTTCCCACAGCACATCCCCGTCATGTATTGAAAACATCTCTCGATAATATGATGTTATTATCAGAAGATATTCTTAATATACGACAGGGATATGCTGTAGAACGTTATGAGGCAGAGATGTGATCTCATCCAATATGAGTCCGGATCTAGTCCCAACAAATCCAGACAAGGGAAATACGATGTGTGACTGTAGTGGATTGTTGGGGCCACATCCGAACTCGTCCAACATGACGGGTCACCTGATGGGGGCATAAGTATTAATTTTGCCTAACAAAGTCAAAGAATTAATTACTTGTAGTATACTTTTTTACCAGGAATTTCACAAAGAAATTTCTCTCTTATTTTCTATCAAATCAGACAGAGCCTAAGTGCATTCTACCGAGAGAGACTGTTACACATGATCATGTTTCTAGCAGATCGGGACTCCATTGTCCATTATATCGTACCTCCCAAAGAGGCCTTGTGCTGTGCTCGGCAAATGAACCAGTTCTCCCTTGGCACAGGCTAAAGAGTTTTGGAGAGAGAACATCTTTGTTAACAAACATGCTCAAGAAATAAAAATAAGAAGCCTATCATATTATTATAATTAATCTATATTCTATAATATATACGTCATGTACAAAGCAGCAAAGAAAGAGATCAATCCACTGCTCTCTGAACCTTGGTCCTATACACCAACACAAATATTTTCTCCATTGAGAAGTAAAGAAAATAGCCCGTTGAGTGTGTGACGAATGATCCAAAGCTTGACCCCACAATGCAATGCCACGCAGGACCGTATACCCCATCAAACTCCTGCAACGCAATTAGAGATGCAATTATGTTCATCAAGCAAGTACAAAAGAGCAAAAAAAAACTCTATTTGCATTGATTGGATGAAACCCAGAGGCTGAATCTAATAATTTATGGCTATCAGTATCACAATCTAATGGAATCCATTCCCCTAGCTACATGCACAATAAAGGAAATGGAAACTTCAAATTGTTTCAGCCCTCATCTTCAGATTATGTCAAAAATTAATAATTGGGTCGCCTGGTTATTATTTACATTGTCATCTACTTTTTACTGGGTTCTTGCGAAAAAATTGAATCATGCAAAGAAGAACGAAGATAATTAGTTTGCTACAGGCCGGCCAGTTGTACAAGGGTGCAAATGAGTTGTATATAGTGCAACTTTTGGTTTGTTTTTGTTTCAAGGTTTTACTTTGTTTTGCTTATTTGCAGTGCAGATGATGAAGTAAAATAAAGCTGAAAGCAAAAGAGAAAATGAGCCAGATTTGCACTTTCTCCTTTGCATCTCCATACACTTATATATATATATATATATATATCAATAAAGCAAATAAAATTGCACTGTGAACAAATGGAGCCTACCTTCTTCAAGTTGTAAGCCATGTGTTTGGAGCTGAACTTCTGTAAGCTGTCATAAGTTCGTCGAGCGCAGCGGAAGGCATGGACTTGCATGAACGCAGGCATATCGGCAACCAGAACCTTCACCTGAAGGGATGAAGCAACGGTTGATATGTTTGCCTCGACGTGTGACACCGACTTTCTTGCCTCCACAAAATCCTTTGCCTCTTCTGATCTTTGTCCTCCTCCGGCGTATGCTTGTATCTCACCAAGGCTGAAAGACCTTCTTAAACCACAGCTCCAGGACACAGCTTTGCTCGGTTGTCTGCTGCAGGCAGCTAAGTCCGGTTCCAGTCTGCGAATTCCGGCACCGGAGATACAAGCACCCAAGGATCCTCTTGGTTGCTTCTCATGGGTATCCATCTCTAGGGAATTGATGGGGGTGGATGTAGTGTTTGGCATATGGCATGAAACGTCTCTTTCTTGCAAATTTGGAATCATAATACAGTGTTGATTGATGTGAGGGGTTGAATAATTTAAAGACAAGCAAGAATCCATGTATTTATTGCCTCTGATCAAGGACAAATAAAGTGCTTAAGAGAGATTTGATGCACTTATTTGTTCCCCTATAGCCCTGCTTTTGCTACTAGCTCCTAGGTCTTCGATTTGGTCTACGACAGTTTTGTACCGAGTTTTGTCTCCACTAATGTTAGGCTTCTAGACAGGTGGGCACATGTGGAAGCTTCCCTCCATTGTCTTTTTGGAATTAATGTTCGCTCCACTAGTCTGGTTCTCTGTAGCTTCCTCAATTGTCCGAAATTAATGCATCTGCATCATTGGAGTTGATAAATTAATAATCTGGACCTGGCCGGAACTCGGAAGGCCGGCCACCGGGTCGATCCACATCAACAAGAGAGTCAACCTTTTGAGTGAGTTCAGTACCATTCCTATCCCCTGTGGATTTGGTAAATTTTCTGTTTTATAAATTTTTATAAGTTTGTACAGTTGAGAACAGTTGGGGGAATAGAAGAAAACCATAATTTTTTCTATTTTTTATATTAGTATTTTGTGTTATCTAGGCACTATTATGTGGCATGTAAAGGTTAAAACATTATCCCCATTGTAAGAATTCTCTGTTGATTGAAATAGGTCGAAAACAGTCAACCAAACAAGAAAAAGTTAATAAGAGAAGAAAACACCTGCATGTTCAAGAAACACTCCAACACCAAACACTGTCATTGACTACAAACTCCTAGCAAACCGGACCAGCCCAGGTAGGTCGATATCGCATGACCAAGACAAATTTGTCTCCTAGAGAAACAAATGGAATTAACATGACCAGAAAGTTCAACAGCTAAATTCCATCTAAAATTGGATGGATGGATGTAGCTTGCCAAACAATAGCAAATATACTGATCTAATGGATACAAGATGGAACCAAGAATCACAAAATGAGTAGAGTGGGTAGGAATACAATGAATTAATATATGTAACTAATTAAGTAAGCCATGACATGGTGCTAAGAATGAAGTCTACATATTATTCATTTCTGTTATGCAGAGACTTGCTGTTTGTTCCTACCACAAATGGACTATATGGATGCTTTCCAATGGTCACCTGACATTATTGTATATATGTATATATTAAAGATGGATGATTTATTCAAAGTATTTAAAGTGATTACTTTAGGGTTAGTTTTTGATTATCAGATCTTAAATGCACCAGCTTATTGTACTAATAATGTTGTATCAAGATTTTAGTACACTTTCTTCCGTCTCAATTCATCTTACCTTAATACATTTTGATTCCAAAGCTTCTTTCCTTTGTTCTAATTTTACATTCATCTCGTCAAATAGTATATCATCAATCAATGTTATGTCATCAAAAACCAATACAGAAGATATGGATTGAGGCTGCATTTGGCATTGCTTATTTCAATGGCTTATCTCCTTTTTGTTGTTAAAAAAAAATTAGTGTTTATAGGGGCATTTCAATCACAAAAAGGAGATAAGTCCTTAAAATAGGGAATGCCAAATGCAGCATAAATGCTAATATTCCTTATTGTAATAAAAAAAAAAAATCCTTGTAAACCCATTTGGGAGGACTTTCATGGGCAGTTTTTTGGAGTCCAGATCACCTGCGAACAAAATATGTTCCACCACCCTGCCAATATCATCTGACACCGTAAATCTCATACATGATGGATCCCACTTTTATGGTGAGCCCCAGTTTCATAGTGAGATGTATGTGTGGTGTCAGATCAAGTTGGTAGGGTGTTGGAATGTCTTTTGTTGGCAGGAGATACCAACTCCAGTTTTTTACGTTGCAAAGTGGGCCCCACCCAGACAGCCTATAAGCAGTGTTTGGTGAAACACTTGGAAAGTCCATACTAGTTGTCTTTTAGCCAAAGAAACAAAAAAACTTCTATTACTTTCATGGTACCAAAGCTTATATTCATCGGCCTCCGCAGCTTATTTTTCCTTTTCCATTTAGCCTCTTGTAAAGTCCACTTAGGTTTCTGCTCTTGCTGGTTAGGTTTTCAAAATGGCATGACTTTTGGACCAACTTCTTTACCCACTCTTGTAGATTTATCATTGCAATCAGGCATTATTATTTACAATGCTCCATTGCTTACAAAGAATGCTGACACAAAACCTAGGCTCAAGCGCAGAAATTTCTGGGCCGGGCTATCACCCCTAACCTTGATCCTTTCAATATGCATCACATGGCTTGGCTAGCTAGTAATGGCTTATGAGAGCCCTAGAGGCCAACAATATGTACAAGTAATCCTGCGTCTGATTTCTCACAGTCCATAAAGAAAAATGATACTTCCCATATCAGTTTATTAAATGGTGGGGTTAGGGTTAAGAACAAAAAGAGATGCTACTAGACTTGGTATCTGAAAAAGGACGCTAGACAAAGTGAAAGAAGAAAGCTGTAGCCCCATTCCCTTTGAGAGTCGAGCCATATCAACTTTGTGATTTTCCTCATGGACCATGGCTTGGATGCCAATTTGTTAGAAGAAAGCCGTCGGCTAAATGCAACCCTGAAAGCCCATTTAGCTAGGTGACTTTTGAAAAAAACAAAAAGAAATGATTTAAGCATAAGCAACTCAACTCAGAGTCTCAGACTTCTTCATATGTGGCTGCTTGATCAGTTCCCTTAATGCCCATTTGCATCTATTGAGTTTAAGGCTCTCTCACTTCAACTAGTTCCAGTTTCAAGCTTCCAGATGAGATATTGATAGCAGTCTAGCACCTCCTTTTTTTCTGCACTGACACTGTTGGGTCTGTTTCTAAGAAACATCAAACATCCATTGGTGCCCACATTTGAATAATGGCAAAAGCACCATCACAAGCAAGAGGGCTCTCCATGGTCTAGTACATGCATCTTGCTGTCTAGAGGACCTACTGCAATACATGATTGTCCATAAGCCCTTTCTATTAAAATGGGTTTGGCCCATCTGTACCAAAAGTTAAATGAAATGCCACTTGATTGAGTAGAGTAATTTTTTTTTTCTCATTTTCATGTAATTTAGATCAGGACGTCTTCAATGGGCCCTAAACTGGGACTGCTTATAGCCCATTCTCCCCATTCGGTAATCATCAAAATATATGTAACAGGCATCTATTTCTCTTGTTGACTTTGGAGGAAGGAGGTAACAGAGAAGGGCCCCATGAAACAATGGCTGTATATGGGCAAGTACCAATGTCTTTGATAGCTACTATATCAAATCTATTGTGACATGAGATAAACTCCCTCCCAACAGAAGAAAAGAGAAAATAAACAACAACATTGGGCTAACAAGTAACTTGCTTCAAGTGGTTTTCATGGGCTTTCCTGTAGTTGTCCTCCCTATTTGGATATTGGCATATGGACAGGGATGGTTTACTGATATTACCATTAGGGCTTTTAAAGCATTCGAATCTTGCCTACTGTTTCGGGACTTTTGTGAAGGAAACAGACAACAACTAAAGACAATTGCCATGAATGAGAGGCAGTAGGATAGTTAAATCACTTAAACTTCTCCCATATTCTCTCTATTTCCTTTTGGTGGAAATAATTATTATTTTAAATCTGTATCTAGCTAAAGTGCTAAGCAAGCTCTCTAAGGCTCAAGTTGCTTTCTTTGGGGTTTAATTGAATATTTAAGTAGTAATGGTTCATCACAGAATTGGGCCATAAACAATGTCAAAACCAGGAGTGTCTCCAACCCCCCACTTCTAAGCCCATGCTGTTGACAACCCACATGGGAGAGTACACCATTGCATGCATTTGAATCTCAGCACATGCATCCCCTTGTGCTAAATGATAACCATAGATATAGGAATGTATGTGATATTGTGATAGAAACCAAAACTATTGGCCTCTGGGGCTGTGCCTCCATGGTCAAAGATGCTTGATTTCATAATCAATAAATACAGTTGTGGGAATCCTTTATTGTACTCTGTGGCTATGGCATCACTGCCTGCATATATAGGTTATTGATTCATAATTTTTATATTGTCATTATTTAGCATAATAAATGATATGTGTACTCGATCTACAAACTGGTACTGAACTCTGAATAGCCTGCATTTTATTTTCTTATTGGTACACTCAATAATAATCATCCAGCCAATGGATCTTGGATGGTTTCTCACTGGAGTTTAATAACCTGTTGATTCCCCTTATATGCAGTACATGATATTCAGTATGTATGCATGATGAATTTGCATATCATTAGGAGGACAGTCTTGGAATAGGCCTTCATACAATGAATTTGGAAAACCAGGGTTAGGAGCTCTGTTCTTCAACTATTTACTAAATTTGATCAAGGCTAAATCCTAATGAGAACAGCTGAACAGGGAATCAGATTCACATAAGCAACAGAAGAGAGAAAGGGGATGTTGGACAGAGAGAGGTGAGTTACTACCATTGTGGACAAATAGAGGAAGCATGGTGTAAAAGCAAGCCCATCTCCATACCTTCATAGAGAATACATCTAATATAGGAAACAAAGGAAGTAGCCCCTTTTATCAAGAGAGGGATGGGAATTCCTAGTATGGAGGAAAGAGACAAACATAGACCTTCCAGGCTTAAAGAATAAATTAGGGGAGTAGTTAGTGACTTTAGGGACCACTACCAAAGAAGAGAAACTTAAACCCCATTGGCAACCTACACTTATATTATCAAAATCTAATCTTCCTATATCTTGATAGAAATAGAAATGGCATTAATTGTCATGATATGGATGTATATGTTTATTCTTAATTCTGTTTTCTATCTGCATGCATGCTCAGCCAGTAGCTTGGGATGCATTTCATGCTATAGGGTTATGGCTTAAGCATGGAGGCACATGATCAGAGGCCAACAGTGACATAGCTCATATTCAATTTTTAATGTATCTTAATTCAATATTTTTGATGATTAAGCTCTGGGGTTTAGCCTATAAGGAAAGAAAAACCTGTAAGATTGCCTTATTCATCACTGTACTTTCTTGAGTATCTTCACTATTAAGTCACATGCATTGTTTCTGGATGCACTAAATGTCTCGATAAGTGAAAAGTGTCCCTTGGTTATTAGAAAGACTCAGTTATTCTTATCATCTCAGAAGGTGCCATGTGGCCTGTAGGTGATTCTATAATTTATCCCAACGAGGCTTTGTTAATGTAGTGCCAGTGGTGCTTTGTCACATGCATATTTGATTTGCTTTAGCCTAAGTCCTTCTGGTTTGGAGCCTGAGCCAAGCCAGGCAGCAGCAATGGTGCATGTATGTTGAGCCCACATTCTATAAATGGCTACAAGCTCTGTGCACATCCAAGAGCAATAACCATGTAAGAGTGTGAGGGTGAGGCAG